GTTCAGAACAGATGAAAATCATATACCAAATCGTACCGTAATAATACATGGCTCCATTGATGCTAGTAGCCTAAAAGGGCCATTTAAGAGGCCACGGCTCCATGATATTTGAACGTCTGCAGTGCATGGGACAAGAGACCGCGTCTATTAGTTGGGCCGAAGACAAGCATGTTCTTGCCCAAACGCCACTATCCGTAGGCAAAAACATACAAGAAAAAAATATAACCCTGAAGTCTTGAGGTAGACTCCGTACGCTATAAGAATGTCAGTTGCTCATAAAGAAAAACGGAAAAAACTTTTCTTGGATTTAAAGCGTCAAAACATCAGCTCATTGTGTTGCTTGCTGCGAATGCTGCCAGTGACTGCAAATTGAAACCACTTCTGATCTACTGGTCTGAATATTCTAGAGCTTTGAAGAATATGTCCAAAGCTAGCTATCCTTTCAGTGGTATAGAAATCTAACACAAAGGTATGGGTCACTGCTTGTCTTTGAAGACTAGTTTGGCCACAATTTAATCCCTGCGGCCGAACGCTATTGCCGCCTTCAGAACCTATCAAAACCTGTCTTCAAAATGATGCTAATTCTCGAGAATGTTCATGGCATCCTACAGCGACTCTAATACAGTTTGATCTTCGAGTGAAAGTGGTGTTTTGCCTCCAAAAACAAGTCTGACCAGGGTGTGATTAAAACATTTAAGGCTTTGCCCAAATGAATGCAGCTATGAAATAAATTAATGACGTGACTGAAAGATTTCTGGAAGGCTTCTAATATTCTGGATGTAGTGAGGATAACAGGAGACTCATGGATCTGAAGGTTGTGAAAGAACTATTAACGGAGTAAGGAAAAAGCTCCCTGTTCTTATTTACACAAAACTTGATCATGGCTCCAGAAACTGATCACACTGCTGAAGCAACATAAGAAGTGATCATCTTGCTTCACAACTTGGTTTAGAGGTTGATGCTGAATATGTCAAGGAATTATTGGCCTTCCATAACGAAGAGTTCCCACTAGATGATATAGAAATTCATAATGAATGTTGTCGATTTAACTGAAGCCCTTGAACTGTCTGAAGCGGGCCTGAAGGTTCTAGAAGAAATCAATTCGAATGAAGACCGAGCAGCAACTACCAAACAAGGGGCAAAAGTGATCGTCTACCAAAAGAAATTTTACGAGAAAAGTTTTTTCCTGTCATATTTACTGTTAGATTTCTTAAAATCATCCTCGTCTAACTAAATACTGTTGTATATTCATTTTATTTTGTCTGATGTATAATTCTGCAATAAAAACGTTATAATTCGCCCACAATTCTTGCAGTTTTATTGATCAAATCAACTGCTAAGAACCAATTATGCCACTTTAGTATAGAACTGTATGAATTTCTCTATCTCGACTTAAGCTGTCGATTATGGAATCACTTACGACACAAATTCCAGGTATTAGTGTAGTAGAAAAGCTTTATGAACTCTTTAGCAACATATTTTCAAAAATTTCCTTGATTGAAGGAAGTCGCCGACTACGAGCTCGTGAGTTTCTCGTGTTGGAGAAAAACAACAATCAGCAATCAAAATTCCAGCATGAACTATGGATGAAAAACTTAGCACTGATCTTCATTCAGATAGCACTTTCTTTACGAAGTAACGTCTATTAGCAATGCTTGAAAAGCAGAAAATGGAGCAGACTTACCGAACTGTAGGCGTTCTGTTACGATACATGAATACAAGTGATGCATATAACAAAGAACATAATGTAACAAGCAAGACAGATAGAGTCAACTGTTGCCCTTTCAAGAAACGGCACTCATAGTTTCTGGAGCA